AACAGCAGCAGACTCACAGACTTCCAAGAAGGGACTATCTGTTACAAAGGGAAGAAGGCGTAGGGGAAGGTGGGGGCAGGGGGAAGGAGAGAGAAGGGGATGAAGGGGCAGTGACTAACACACATAATGTAGGTGGGTCATGGGGAATGCAGTATAGCCCAGAGAAGACAAGTAATGATTCTGTAGCATCTTACCACACTGATGGACAGTGACTGCAATGGGATGTAGGGGGGATCTCAATAATATGGTGAATGTTGTAACCACAATGTTGCTCATGTGAAACCTTCATAAGATTGTATATCAATAGTACCTTAATAAAAAAAAAGTACTACTACTGGGAAAATCACTAAGAGGAAGCTCATTGAGAAAAACACTGTTTCCTTGCAGTTAGATGCCTGGTTAGGAAGCCAGTAGTTCTGAGTGCTGGTTTTAAATCTGTCATCAACTAGCTAAGGGGCAAATAATATTTCTCTGGGTGTCGCTTTTCCCTGCCTGTGAACTGGGCAGCAAGGCATCTCGGCTCTGCAATGTCATCACTGTGGTTCCAGTGATCTGAAAAATGCATATTGCCCCAGAGATTCAGTCCTCGATGGCTGGATGGAAACCGTGGTGAGACCCTCTTGGAAAAAATTCCCCAGTTCAAGAGTCACACAGCTAAGATGTGATTAAGCTGACGGCTGCTGTCCTTCCCCAGGTGAATCCAGTGCCAAACTTGCTAACCTGAGTTGTGTTTGCCTTTTCCCAAAGGCCATCTGTTGATTCTGTGACATCCAGATCCATGATCAGGTCACAGCCATGGACAGAGAAATGAATTAGAAGAAGCAATGCAGCCTCTCACTTAGACGGACTTAAGTTCCAGCTCTGACAGGGGTCTGAGCAAACCCGTCCCCTCTCTGGACCTCAGTTTCCACATCTAAAATGAGGGGAATTAAACTAAATTGTTCTCTAAAGTCATTATTGATTGACGTTTATGACAATGCAAACATTTTAAAAAGAACCCTGTCACTTCTGGCTTGGATCATCAGAAGCAGGGTGGCCAGAGTGACCTCCTCCATCCTGACCACATTTCTCATTTACTTTCCCATGTAAAGCCTGTCACACCAGTGGCTAAACTAACCACTCTGCCTTGATTAAGCCAGTGTGCAGTGAACTAACCACTCTGCCTTGATTAAGCCTGCTATCTCAGAGCAATCTGAGGAGGTAGACACTCTAATAGGTACTATTCTGAGCTCCACTTTACAAAGAAAATTGTGACCCAGAGAACTGAAGTAACTCACCCAAGGTCATGTAGCTAGAATACACTGGACACAACTCTGACCAGGTAGTCTGGCTTCAGTCAGTTTCTATTGAGGCCCTACTACGTGCATGTAAGACCCTGAGCAGAATCAATATTCGGAGACACCTGTGATGGTATTTATGTTATGTTACAAATCAATTTTGCCTTCTTCCTGAGAAGTCAAGGGAAATGCAGGACAACTTGGACTTCCTGGGTCAACATTCTATTTACATGCCAAAGAGGACATTCATCAACTGTGCAAGGAGATGCACTTCTCTGCACAAATACCTCCTTTTATCACCAAATAGTGGCTCCAGTGCTCAGTTTGAGAGCCCTGTCTTTCTGAAGGAAAGAAAAAGCCTTTGAGTGAAATTCTGACTCTCCCTTCACAAACAGCCTTACAGCAAGACTGGCCACAGGGGCAGGGGGTTGATTCCCAGGTGAGCTCTGAAATTTGGTGGGTGGGTAGGTGACAGGAGAGCCCATATTCTCATTTTGTAGCAAACCCTGAGAAAACAAGAGTGGTATTTGTAAGGACCTGTAGACCTTAGGGGGCCCTCTCTGCAGAAGACACCTAGCACAGTAGTTAAGATCATGGCCTCCTGACCCAGGCAGCTTGGGTTCAATTTGAGTCCACCACTTATTGGCTCTGTGACCTTGAGCCTATTACATAATTCTCTCTGTGCTTCAGTTTTTTCAACCCTGAAACCTAGACAACAGCAAGGTTTTATGAAGATTATGTAAGTCCATATAGTATATGTAAAGGGATTAGAATTATGCCTAGCATGGAACAAGGCCACATAGGCGTCAGCTGTTATTATTACAATGTCAGGTAATTCACAAAGGCCGCTATTCAGAAATGCCGAAAGCAAGGGTGTAAGTGTGGGATTTCATTTCCTCATTCAACATGCTTCCTGCTGAGAATGGTGTGATAGCCTTCCCTGAACACAACGCAACAGGAATGACTTCTTTCCCTTCTTCCCTCCACCATCTATCTGTATTCATCTTTGGCTCTTGTCTCCTCCCCTTTGTTGACCATCCCAGCCCCACAGCCTCCCAATCCTCCTCAGTAAGCTTACAGGCTGGACGGTTCCCTGATTGCAAGGGACTCAGCTTCCCTGAGAATGCAGTCTGGATTTTTCCTTTGCTTCTCCCCCAACAAACTCTTATCCCCCTGATTGGCCTGGTTCACCTCTTCCCATTCTCCCTGAGAAGAGCAGACACAGGATTGAGCCCACCGAATGGATCACCTAACTCCTACCAACTGACCACAGAAGCAAGCTTGCTGGGAAGATACGCAGGTGAAATGCCAGCCGCAGCTCATCTGCAAAGCCATCTACACAGCACGGCCTCCACCAATGCCAGGAGGGTTGGCTCTCCTCTCTGATGCCTGTGGGACTATGCAGAAGCTGGCTGGGGTGTGATTTCTTTGCCTCTACCCACAATGGTAGCAGTGTATATTTACATGTGGTCTAGGAGACTCCCAGAAAAACTCAAAACCAAGCCCACACTAAGGGTTCACACACAGGCATATGAGATAAACAGGTAGGCTGTGTCACAGTCAGTGTTGTACATTGGCATGGTTAAGTTATGGTGCCCAGTTCCTTGGTGAAACCCCTATCAAGATGTTCCTGCGGAGGTATTTTTTAGATGTGACTGACATTAACATCAGTGTCTTTGAGAATAGCAGACTACCTGCTGTAGTGTGAGTGGGCCTCATCCAATCAGTTGAAGTTCTTAAGAACAAAGACAGATTTTCCCAAAGAGGCAGGCATTTGGCCTTTGACTCCCTCATGGAAACCCTGCCAGAGTTTCCAGCCCACCTGGCCTGCCCTGCAGATTTCACACTCCAGGCTGCAACATCAACTCCTACCTGAAATTCCCACCTGCCAGCTTATCTATGGATTCCAGACTTGCCAGGCCCCACAACTGCATGAGCCAATTCCTGAAAATAAACTTCTCTGTGCATATACATCTCCTACTGTCTCCGTTTCTCTGGAGAACCCTAACACATGCAAAAGCGAAATGGCAGGGGTGCTCTGAGACTCTTGAGGGCGAGTCACAGCAAGCCAGAGACCAGAGGAAAGAAGAGGCCTGAATGTGCCACAGTGGTCATTATTTGAACGGGTCTTGACTCCACCTCTATCATCATTACAGGAGCTGTCCCATTAACAAACCCAGGAGTACCCTGCTGTGGGGCCCTGAAAGGAGACTGTTCTTCCTCCCTCTTTCCCAGCAGACTGCAGGGCACTCAGTGACCTGCACAGTCAGCAATGTGCTGGCTTTAACATAGTCTGTCCCCCAAGCAAGGGCAAGCCGGGCAGCGGCCTGGCAGAGTGAGGTCAGAGGCATAGACCCAGGTGTGGCCGGCTCAGAGCAGCATGTCTTAGCTCCCCAGCGTGGGGCAGGAGCATCTGTGCAGAGCTTCCACACGGCAGGAGCAGCTGCACTCTACTCCGTGGTCAGGGGCTGAGGGAAAATCCACGTGCGCCTTTGCAAGTCAGAGACAGAAGGCAAGAGCGGGAACAAGAGGCCAGCCAAAGCTGGGATTCTGAGCAGAGGCGACCATGAGAACATGAGCTCCCTGGAATACGTAACTGCCCAGAGGTCACTGAGCCTCCCAGGGGACGTGGGATAGCGTGCTTATACCAACTTGAGCGAAATCTCAAAGGACAGCTGTCGTCACAGGGAAAGAGATATGGATGAGAGGTCAAGGGGGAAGCAGCCCTCACACAGTCAGGACCCAGCTTCTGCCATCTCCGTAGGCCAAGGCATGTTGGCCGGAAAGGAGGGCATAGAGGGGCCCTGTATCCTTCATTGAGCTTGGATTAAATGTTTCCTTGTTCCTGGCTTATATCTAGCCTTCAGCACTGTTGATGATTTCTGTACATCTCAGGAAGGTGAATCAGGAAGTGCTAGTTTTTAGCTGTCATAATTTCCATGTCCCCTAATTTGTACTCTTCAGGGCCTTGTCTTGTTCCAAGAACAGCTGAGGACTGAGGAGAAGAGGTGATCAGAGTGGAAGGAAATAGATTCTACCCCATGACACTGACAGGCTGGCTGGGGCTCAGAGAGCAAAGCAGAGCTGCCACGCACCACCAGGCCAGGGTGGTTATCAGAGTGTCTGCCCAGGAGACCATGGAGTGGCTAAAACAGAACCTGGGAACCCTGAAAGGGAGGCCATACCCCTGGGAATGCAAACTTCACCAGCCCTTTCCATGACCAGGGGGAATGTAAGGCAGCCTGGCCATAGAGATAATCCTTATGCCCCCATTCAGCAGATGGGAAGCCTGAAGCCCATAGGATGAAGCTTTTCCCCCTGGGCTGTCAGCTGCTAAGTCATGCAGCAGGACTGGACCCCTCTCTCCCAGTCCAGGCTTGGGGCCAACTGAGTAAGGCAGAGGACAGACTCCCAGGCCTGTGGGCCTCCAGGAGAGCAGTCAGGTAGACCTGGGGTTCAAATCTGGTTTCCTCTAGCTCGCTCCTTGTTCCCCCGTGGCCCAAGGGGACTCCATTAGCAAAGGCCACCTCCCTGCCTTGCCAGCTGGCAGTGCCAGCCTTGGCCTTGTCCCCACATTCACTCACATTCCCAGGTTCAGTCAAATGACTCCCAAGCTGCCCAGCCACGGGACCTGACCTTTGCCAAAAGGCTGAATCCAGGCCCTGCCAACCTTTTATTAGCCTGTGTCTCAGGCTGCTGCCCTCTCAGGGACCCTCAAGTCACCTCATGAGGAGGAAGTCTGGTCGGGAAGACGGGACATGTGTCCTCAGTTCATCTCACCCTGCAGGCAGAGGGGGCAGGAGAGCAGGCTGTCCCAGGGTGGCCCCCCCACAGGGGCAAGGCATTAGGTCTCACTGCGCCTCAGCTTCTCGCCTGTAAAATAGGAATGGGAACTAAGTGGCTGCCGAGGTTCCTTCCAGCTCTAATGTGCTCTGAGGAGCAGCACCAGAATGAGAACTCAGGCCACATCTCCTTCTTACCCACACAGCCTCTGGGCATGTCCCAGCCCAGCCCTTCTCCACCCAGTGCTTCTACAAGGCCAGTGTGACCACGTCATCCCCACCACTAATGAATTCTGCCAGTCGCTGTCTTACCCAGACACACAGCCCCTGGCACCTCAGCAGTGCCCCTGCCACCTGACCGTGATCGTCTCCATCTCCACAGACTCCTACATGTTCCCCAGTCTATCTCATTCTTGCTCACCTCTGGAAGGTCCACTCTCCACCTTGAATGCCTCTCCTTGCCAGCCTCCACACCTTCACCCTCACCCAGCTGAGTTCAGCTCATCCTCCATGCCACTGATGGCTGGGTGGCATTGGTGACCCATACTCACTGGTCCTTAGAGTCCTTGCCTGTTCACTAGTCTGCTTCCCCCAACACATTAGAACAGCTGCTCCATCTTCTCTCCCTGCACCTTGCACTTAATAGGTACTCAATAAATCACCTTGAATTCATAGTAAGGATTATCTTCTGCCTTCCAGCCCAGTGCTCCTGTAGGAGTCCCAGAAAGGTTAACTTGGATGGAACCATCTAGATTCTACCCACTGTGCCAGGGGCTTCTCAGATCCCTCTGATCTGCCTGGACCACTCCAAGCCCCTTGCCCCAATGTCATCCCCATTCATTTGTTTACTTGACAGACATTTGTTTAGAACCTGCTCAGTTCTAAGGGTGGTGGCTGCCAGGGACAGGGGTTGGGAAGTGAGAGAAATGGGCAAAGGGAGTCAAAAGGTATAAAATAAGTAAGCCCTGGGGCTGTAACATTCAGCATGGTGATCAAGGTCAATACTGTATTGTAGGTTTGAAAGTTGCTAAGAGAATCGATCTTAAATGGTATCATTACATGGAAAAAAGTTGTTTTTGTAGCTATGTAAGGTGATGGAAGTTAACAAGACTTCTTGTGGTGATTGTTTCACAATGTGTACAAATACTGAATAACTATGCTGTACACCTGAAACCAATATAGTTATATGCTAATTGCACCTCAAATTGAAAATCATAAATAAATAAATTTTAAAACGGGCACTATGCCATTCAAGGCACCCATGGTTGTGCCTGGCATAGGGTCCCCAACATAGGGGGCCCCCAGTGTTCACTGACTTTGACCTGGGAGGAACAAAATAACCCTGACGATTTTCTCTCACAAAGTGGTTGCTCTCACACAACCCTCACAGTGGCTCTCCATAGTAGGTGTTATGTTTCATTTCACAGGTAGGTAAACTGAGGAGAAAAGGGGGCTGGAGGGAGACATCATAGCGGCCACAACAAGCACTAGAGCAGGTGTTCAGGGGGCCCCATAGGCAACCTCCCCAGGGCACAGCAGGGGCCTGCCCCACACCGCCCTCTGGATCCCTTCCCTGGGTTTTGGCCCAGCCCAGCCCATGGCACCTGCTCCCGGGAGGAGCCTACACAGGGGTTTGGGGGAGAGAGGAGGACAGCTGTGAAACCACAGACATGACAGACAGGAGCCAGGCACTGAATGCCACTCGGCACTGGAGCCCCAACTCCTCTGGAAAATACAAACCCCACAGCTGTTCCCCAGGCACAAAGTTCAAGGCTCCTTCATGAGCAGGTAAAAACTCTGCCAGAGCTCACTTAATCCCTATTAATCAAACATGACGACTTGTTTTTCTTTAGAGACAAGTGACAGCAGAGCTGATCATAACTCATACTTAGACCTGGCCTCTGTGAGCCAGGATATTTTGGAGGAAAAGAAAGAGAGAGAGAGATCAAAGCAATATCCCACAGAACCACAGGAAAAAAACAAAAATAAAAATGAGCAAAATCAATGCCTGTTCTTTCAACAGTGTCATAAAATTGTTTTCTGAAATTGCATTGCAAAAGCAGTCTAAAGCTAAATTGGTATGACCATGGCTAAAATAAGGTGATGGCTGCATAAAGCTAGGGGACAAGATGTTGCCTGCATAAGGTGGACAGGGAGCTGCGGTATGTGGTCTGAGCAGTCTCAGCCCTAGATGAGAAGTGGGATCACTGTGGTGGCCCCAGAAAGGAGGAGATAGAGTCTAGCTAATGTCCCCTTGGTGGTGCAGGCCCTGCCTTTCCCTCAGACCCCCTTCTGGACTGGTATACCATTTTATATCTTGCCTGGGCTGTTGTACCAGCCTCTCCATTCTCTCCTTAACTCCAGACTTGCCATGTCCAATCCAAGACCACCTGCTGCTCAAGCAAGCCTTCTAGAATACAGATTGAACCTTGTCCCTCCCCTGCTCAGAGATACATAAAACCCAAGCCTCCCTAAGAATCCAGTCCTCCAAAGCCACCCTTTATTTTCATAGCTACATACAATGACCTGACTACCCCCAGCCCATTAGATTTACAGAAAGTCTGGGCTCTCCCTAAGAAAACAAGCTTGGTTCCCAGACATGGGATGGGTGTCTTCCATTTTTCTGGTCACTTTTTCCTCTGAATTCCACTCCTGTTCAATTCCTGATCCCTTCTGTGGTAGCCAGAATTCCTAGGGTAGTAAGTAACAGAAAGTTTAAACAGGCTCAAGCCTCAGGGAAAGTTAATTGAAGAGCCTCTGACTGTGGACAGATGAAAAGCACATTTCGGGCTTTAAGAGAACCACAACTTTGAAGGCTAGCAGAACCTTCTCTCCCTCTCTCTTCTGCTCCCCTGTGTGAAGGCCATTCCCTCAGTTTGGCTTGTCTTTCACCATACAGCTGCTGCCCTTGGCATCTCTCAATTTCTCCAAAAGAAAGGAATAGTCTCTCTCTTTGATGCAAAGTTTTAAAATCCCAGGGGCGCTCACAAACACATGGAGGCTTAACAACATGCTCCTAAATAATCAATGGATCAATGACCAAATTAAAACAAAAATCAAGCAATATATGGAGACAAATGAAAACAACAGCACAATCCCCCAACTTCTGTGGGACACAGGGAAGGCAGTTCCAAGAGGGAAGTATATACCAATCCAGGCCTATTTAAAGAAGGAAGAACAATCCCAAATGAATAGTCTAAATTCACATTTATTGAAACTGGAAGAAGAAGAACAAATGAGGCCCAAAGTCAGTAGAAGCAGGGGCATAATAAAGATCAGACAATAAATAAATAAAATTGAGAAGAGTAAAACAATGGAAAAACTTAATGAAACCAAGAGCTGGTTCTTTGAGAAAATAAACAAAATAGATATACCTAGCCATACTTATCAAGAAAAAAAGAGAATCTACACACATAAACAGAATCAGAAATGAGAAAAGAAAAATCATTATGGACACCACAGAAATACAAAGAATTATTAGAGAATACTATGAGAAATTATATGCTAACAAACTGAATAACCTAGAAGAAATGGACAACTTTCTAGAAGTATACAACCTTCCAAGACTGACCCAAAAGAAACAGAAAATCTAAACAGACCATTTACCAGCAATTAAATTGAATCAGTAATCAAAAAAACTACCCCAAAACAAAATTACCTTACCAGATGGATTCACTGCTGAATTCTATCAGACATTTAGAGAAGACATAATACCCATTCTCTCCTTAAAGTTTTCCAAGAAATAGAAGAGGAGGGAATACTTTCAAACTCATTCTATGAAGCCAGCATCACTCTAATACCAAAACCAGACAACAAAGACACCACAAAAAAAGAAAACTATAGACCAATATCCCTGATGAACATAGATGCAAAAATACTCAAGAAAATATTAGCAAACTGAACTCAAAAATACATCAAGAAGACCATACACTATGATCAAGTGGGATTCATTCCAGGGATGCAAGGACAGTACAACATTCAAAAATCCATCAACATCATCCATAATATCAATAAAAAGGACAAAAATCACATGATCATCTCCACAGATGCTGAAAAAGAATTTGACAAAATTCAACACCCATTCATGATAAAAACTCTTAACAAAATGGGTATAGAGGGCAAGTACCTCAACATAATAAAGGCTATATATGACAAACCCACAGCCAATATCATACTTAACAGTGAAAAGCTGAAAGCTTTTCCTCTAAGATCAGGAACAAGGCAAGGATGCCTACTCTCTCTGCTTTAATTCAACATAGTACTGGAGGTCCTAGCCACAACAATCAGACAACTCAGAGAAATAAAGGGCATCCAGATAGGTAAGGAAGAAGTCAAACTGTCCCTGTTTGCAGATGACATGATATTGTACATAAAAAACCCTTAAGAACCCACTCCAAAACTACTAGAATTCATATCTGAATTCAGCAAAGTTGCAGGATACAAAATTAATACACAGAAATCTGTTGCATTCCCAAACACTAACAATGAACTAGCAGAAAGAGAAATCAGGAAAACAATTCCATTCACATAAAATATGTAGGAATAAATCTAACCAAGGAAATGAAAGACCTATACCCTGAAAACTATAAGACACTCTTAAAATAAATTAAAGAGGACACTAATAAATGGAAATTCATCCCATGCTCTTGGGTAGGAAGAATTAATATTGTCAAAATGGCCATCCTGCCTAAAGCAATCTATAGATTCAATGCAATCCCTGTCAAAATACCAACAGCATTCTTCAATGAACTGGAACAAATAGTTCTAAAATTCATATGGAACCACAGAAGACCCTGAAGGAAGAATAACGCAGGGGGGATCTCACTTCCCAACTTCAAATTCTACTACAAAGCCACAGTAATCAAAACAATTTGCTACTGGCACAAGAACAGACCCACAGACCAGTGGAATAGAATAGAGAGTCCAGATATTAATCCAAGCATATATGGTCAATTAATATACAAAAAAGGAGCCATGGATATACAATGGGGAAATGACAGTCTTTTCAACAGCTGGTGTTGGCAAAACTGGACAGCTACCTGTAAGAGAGTGAAACTAGATTACTGTCTAACCCCATACACAAAAGCAAACTCAAAATTGATCAAAGACCTGAATGTAAGTCATGAAACCATAAAACTCTTAGAAGAAAACATAGGCAAAACTTTCTTGAATATAAACATGAGCAACTTTTTCATGAACATATCTCCCTAGGCAAGGGAAACAAAAGCAAAAATGAACAAGTGGGACTATATCAAACTAAAAAGCTTCTGTACAGCAAAGGATACCATCAGTAGAACAAAAAGGCATCCTACAGTATGGAAGGATATATTCATAAATTATATATCCGATAAGGGGTTGACATCCAAAATATATAAAGAGCTCACACACCTCAACAAACAAAAAGCAAATAATCTGATTTAAAAATGGGCAGAGGATCTGAACAGACACTTCTCCAAAGAAGAAATTCAGATGGCCAACAGGCACATGAAAAGATGCTCTAGATTGCTAATCATCAGAGAAATGCACATTAAAACCACAATGAGATATCACCTCACACCAGTTAGGATGGCCAACATCCAAAAGACAAACAACAACAAATGTTGGTGAGGATGTGGGGAAAAGGGAACTGTCCTACACTGCTGGTGGGAATGTAAATTAGTTCAACCATTGCGGAAAGCAGTAACTAAAAGCAGAAACTAAAAATATAAGTACCATTTGACCCAGGAATTCCACTCCTAGGAATTTACACTAAGAATGCAGGAGCCCAGTTTCAAAGACAGATGCACCCCTATGTTACTGCAGTACTATTTACAATAGCTAAGAAATGGAAGCAACCTAAGTGTCCATCAGTAGATGAGTGGTTAAAGAAGATGTGGTACATATACACAATGGAATATTATTCAGCCATAAGAAGAAAACAAATCCTCCCATTTGCAAAAACATAGATGGAGCTGGAAGGTATTATGCTCAGTGAAATAAGCCAGGCAGAGGAAGACAAGTATCAAATGATTTCACTCATCTGTGCAGTATAAGAACAAAGCAAAAACTGAAGGAACAAAATAGCAGCAGACTCACAGAACCCAAGAATGGACTAACAGTTACCAAAGGGAAAGGGACTGGGGAGGATGGGTGGGAAGGGAGGGAAGGGGGGGGGAAGAAAGGGGGCATTACGATTAGCATGTATAATGTGGGGGGAGACCTAGGGAGGGCTGTGCAACACAGAGAAGACAAGTAGTGACTCTACAGCATCTTACTACACTGATGGACAGTGACTGTAATGCAGTATGTGGTGGGGACTTGATAATGGGGAGAATCTAGTAACCACAATATTGCTCATGTGATTGTACATTAATGACACCAAAAAAAAAAAAATCCCAGGGGAAGACCCTGATTAAACCAGTTCAGATCTACTGTTCTGTCCCAACCAGCTGTGGCTAGTGGGGTGAGGCCCTCTCACCTACCCAGCCTGGTAGATTGCACTGGGCAGACTCACAGCAGCCCACTGCCAATCAAATCACATGATTGGAGTAGAGCATGCACTCTCAAGGAGGCAGGAAGCAGTTTTGGCAGGTAGTTGGTTGTTTTAGATATTACAATGGTTTGTGGCCTTTCAAAGAACCAGAGTACATACCTGATATACGGAATGTCTGTGGTATTAAAATTTCATGGGGGGAGGATGAAATTACGGAAAAAAAACTAAAAGGCCTCTTACAGAAGTAAGATAAAAAATTTAAAAAAAAGATGATACAAACACTGGAGTGGAGGATGGAGCCTTTCTTAGAAGGACAAGACCATTATGGACAAAGCAATGTCCAGCACCCCTGCCACTGCCTGCAGCTGCCTTCTCCAGCCCTTTATCCTCACATGGGTACATACCTCCTCCTCATTCCCCAGGCACCAGGACACAGACTGTCAAGCACAGTGGACTTTTCCTAAGGTGCAGGGATAGTGAAGGCTGCTCACTGATGTTCATTCACACCTCAGGGAAGCCCTTTCAGCCCATTCCTCCTTGGACCTGGCCAGCCCTACAGTCCTTGTCCCCTCTTTTCTCTCCCAGAATCTGGGACCACCCCAACCCAGGTCCAAGCCTTTGTACCCCTCCTTTATCTTGAATGCCAACCTACATCTAGGAATTTTAACCATTTTACTTCACAAAGCAAACCACTCACTTCCCTTTTAAACCACCCTGAATTGTCTCCCATAATCAAAAGGGACCTTGAAGGCATTTCAAAAAGAAAAAGGCTCATTAGCCCTTGGAGTCTGCCCTTAGGAACACCAAGCTTCTAAGTGACAATTTTGTATGAGCCTGCCCAGATCACAGTAGGCAAGCTTTCTTCTACCACCAGCAGCCTCGGGAAGTTGAAAAGGGCTGTGCAGAGGACATCCCAGACACTCAAGGGCTTTGTATGAGTTCTTATTGTTGTTTGTTTTTAACCAGTCTGTGTATAAGCAGTTCTCCTAAGAGCATTCCAGGTTGGGGGAGGGATCTATCAGGAAGCATAAGAATGCCCTGCCAGGGAGGAATCAGGTCGAACAGCACCTATTTGCCTGCACTACAGACCCTTCTAGAACTAGAGTGGACCTAGCTTCCTTCCAGCCTGTCCTGTACTCCCTGCCCCTACCCTGTCCTCACTCCAGCAAGACCACCTGTCGGACCAGCCTGTACTTGCATAACCCCTTGCTTCTGCTCATACTGACTCCTTCATCTGGAGTAAAGGTCTCCCCATCTCCAGCTGTTTAAATCAGGGAGACTGTGTCAACTCCTCCTCAGCTTTTCCCGTAAAGATTCCCTTGCAGCTAGGCTCAGTGCAACAGAGGAGGGAGGCAGAAAGAAACAAAAAGGGCAGCGGGTGTGAAAGGGGAAGTTCTGCCCTCAGGAAGTGCCTCTCCCCAACACCCCACACACCCTGTCCTGTCCCCACCAAGTGGTTGGAAACCCATCTCTCTCATCCAAGGGGCAGTTAGAGTCCACACGGAGGAAGAGTCATGGGTTCAGATTCAGGCCTGTGAGATTTCTGGGGAGGGTGTGACATGGGAGCCGGTGCAGTCAGGAAAGACTACCTGGAGGAAGAGGTGGAGGGGAAGGGGACCTAAGGGTCAGAAAAGCATCCCAGGCAGAGAGCTCAAAGTGAACACAGGTTGTCTGAGTTTCTTGAACAGGCTGAGCTCTCCAGGGCCTACCCTCACCTTGTCTGCACCAAGGCTGCACCTATGGGAAAAGCACAGTGCCCACTAATCGCATTCCTCAGATGCTTTCTCTTCAGATCCTAAGGGGGCTGAAACTGCTGCTTAAGCTTTTAAACTCCGGACACCAGGCCAGCTTGTTTGCACAGTTCTAGAGGCTGCTTTAGTGGCCCCTGAGCCCTGACCCCGCCCCAGGGTGGACCAGTCCCCATCCAAAGCCTGCACTGCTGGCCCAGCCCTAGGGTTCCTGCGCAAGTCATCCAAATGCACCAAAGCCTGGGCCCCGCCCCACCCTATGTAATCAGAATCTCTGGGCGGGGCCTGATTTTGCTGCATTTGTTCTCCTTGTTGTCTGATTTTTAAAATATATTTTTTAGCATTTTACTTCAAATAAAAAAAGTTGGAAGAATGATCCAAAGCATAGCCATATACCCATCATCCACATTTACTGATTATTGACATTTTGCCCCATTTGCTTTATTGTTCTGTGTACCTGTATTTATTTCTGAACCACTTGAAAATGTTAGAAACACGAAGCCCATTTAGTGTGGACCTCCCTGCTGTGTACTTGCTAGAACAAGAACATTCTCCTACCTACCCACAACACAGTGCAGTTAACAAAACTGGCAAATACAGGACAGGTACAGTACTATTATTTAATCCAGTCTCCACATTCAAACTTAAATTGCCCCTATAGGTCCTGGCGCCTGGTAAAAGCTCACCAGATCATTAGAATAAACCATGAAACTCACCCAGCCTACTGGAGGCTCTCTCCTCGCTTTCACATTTCCTCCGTGCCCCAAGTGGGTAGCTCCAACCCAGGCAAAGGTGTAGGGCTAGATATGACATTAACCCCCTCTAAGTAGGTTGGAGGGAGTTTGCCTGGGGGCTGCTGGGGCAGAAGAGGCTTCCCAGCATCCGCTATAAATAACCTGGAGCGGGGCGGGCTGCGGGCGGTGTCACCGGCGCCTGGGGATGAGGGGGAGAGCACCCCCTGTCCGGGGCCCTACCTTGGCCACCGGCGGAGGGGAGGGAGGGGGACGGCTGGGCTCCGGCTGGAGGAGGGGCAGGCGGGGCGGGACCGCCGCGCTGCGGAGGTGCGCTCCGGTGCCCGGCCACCGCGGCCATGGGACGTCCCGCGGTACCCCCGCGCCTCCCGCACGCCCCACACCCGCTCTTCTGGCTGCTCTGCCTCCTCCCGCAGCTGCTCAAAGTAAGTCCGGAGAGTGGGAGTCGGTTCTCAGGGTGGGGCGCCCAGGAGCCGGCAGCTCCATGGTTTCTGACTTGGCGGGTGGGGGAGAGCCTCAGTGCTCGGTCCAGTTGGGTTGAGTGGGTGGAGGAGGTCTCAGGGCTTGGCCAGGGTGGGGCTGGGGAATCCCTGTGTCAGATGAAGGGGTGGAGATCCGCTGCCTGGATGAGGTGAGCAGATGGAGGGGAGATGAACTAACACCAGCTAGGATGGGACAGAGCAGCTCCTTCTGGGTGACGCCCTCGTGCCCAGGAAATGCCCTTCCTCGGGTCCGGAAATCCCCTATCCCCAATCTGTTCTGTCTCCCGTCCATCTCCTGTGCAGGAGCCACCAGTTCCTTTCTCCCCCACCCCAGTTCTGGCCCTTTCCCCCAACAGACCACCAGAGAGCTGCCCCTGTCTCCTGCAGCCTTGTTCCCACCCTCCTCCCAGTGCCTGGAACCAGCTAGCCTGGACCCCCAGCCCTCCCCTTTTCAAATGAGCGACTGGGCAGAGGCACTACTGGGACGCATTCCTCAGATGCTGGGTTTCTCAGAGCTGTGGGTGCCTTCCCCCAGCCCCTCCCCTATGCCCTTTGGCCAGAGTTGGGGTCTTCAGGTAGTAGCTGGGGTGGAGGAAAGAAGGGGGGCTACACAGAAAGAGCTGAGCAAGATGGGGTGAGGTTGGAGGGAGTGAGTCCCAGAACAGATATGGAGGAATATTTCTCCCCATTTTACAGATGGAGAAACTGAGGCTCAGAGAGGGAGGATGACCTGTTCTCAGCCATATCTCATAAGGAGCCATGACATTAAAAGGATTCAGAGGGCCAAGAGGGGCCCGGCAGCCGCACAGTGCAAGTGACAGAGTGAGGCTGAAATCAGGAAGCCTGGTCCTTTCCTGTTCTGGGAAAGACCAGCCTTGGGAACCGTTTCCTGGGCATCAATATTGCTGTATATACACAGAGGATTCATTCATTCAACAGAAAGGTAGCAAGCACCCACTGACTGGCGCAGTGGCTCTGCAGATAGGCCTGATTAAACTCCCTGCTCTGCTGCTTAGTGTGTGACCTTAGGTTACTCAGAATTTCTGAACTTCGGTTTGCTCATTTGTAAAATGAGGATGACATCAGTGCTTATAGAACACAGTTGTCATAAGTAATAATTGAACTAATAAAAGTGATGCTCTTAGCCCCCTGCCTGGCACTGAGTAAGTGCTCAGTAAATTCAACTATAGTTTTGTGCAGGCACTATAGATAAAGCAGGATGATACCAGGGGCCCTGCCCTCCAAGGAGTTCTTGTGGGAGGCACGGGGATGGCAAGGGGTGGACACCATGCAGCATGGACTCAGTGCCCCAGTGGACAGACAGACCCCTGACCTGTCGAGCCCTTTTAATGGCATTGCAGGCTGTGTTGGGGATGGGTGGAAGTGGTGGGGGTTCATTGGCACACCCCTCCCTCTCACACTCCACAGTGTCAGCCAGGTCACGTGGAGGGGTCTCTTGGAGGGTATCCCAGGTTCTGGGACATCAGAACCCAGAAACTCAGAGGCAACAGTCTGCACTCCCCTCAGAGTCAGCCCTGGCCCTGCCCCGAGCTCCCTGGAAGACCTCAGCCTGAGACTGGCATGGAACCAGCTAAAGAGGAACTAAGCCTTGGTGGTCTCTCTGGCCCAAAAGGCTTCCTTGCTCTGGGCCTTTGTGGTAACAATTCATTTCTGGGTCCTTGTCGAACTATTCTGAGAATTTTTTTGCTTACAATAAAAAGACAGTATGAGACCCAGAGCCAGGGGTGGGGTGGGGATGAAAGGCAACCCAGGAGGGGCCTGGCTTCCAGCCTCTTATGTATTCAACCAGTATTTAAGGAGGGCCACACATGGTGAGGACACAAGGATGGAAGTACCAGCCCATGGCTTCCGCCCTATGGTGTAGATAGCCTAGAAGAAGACACTGGCCTGGAAAAAATAATGGCAAAGAATTAAGCGTGTATTTACAAACTCTCAGTTGCTGGAACTAAGAAAAAGGTGTGGAGAGCTTCTGACAAGGGTAGGGGAGATGTCTGGACAGGATAACAGGGTGGAGATGAGACAGTTCTAGAAGGCTGAAGGGAGAGCAAGAAGGGGAATGCCCTGAGCCCCAACCCCGAGAAGAGCTGGTGTGAGGCTGCACGGTAGCTCCTGGTGGGATCTGATTTCCATTGCAAGGCCCAGAGAGCCACTAAGTAGGGGAGGGGCCTGACCCGGTTTGCACTGTGAAAGTTCTAGCCCTGGTCCCACCCACACCACTCGAGCCTGGACGAGTCCAGCTTTTCCCCTGTGCTGCCCGGCTGCCCTCTGAGGCTTCTGGGAACTGCCTCAGGAGGCAGCATTGTAATCAGGAAGCCTATCTTGTGCACCAGGCACCGTGGATTAGTGCTTTCCTAGAACACCAGGAAGGTGTGACAGTTATTTCCAGACTGAAACGGAGGTTGGTGAGGCTGAATAATATGGCTGCTGGGTTTCAAAACCCTCAGTTCCAACCTTTTGATCTAGTTGCCTCCCCTCCATGAGACCCCGGTAGTATACCAGCCCCTCTTGGCCGGGTCCAGCCCCTTGGACCTCTGGGCAGCCTGAGCACTGATATGCATCCCCTGAGAGGGTCTTAGGGACAGCTCACCTGAGGCCTCGTGCCCTGGGCCCTGGCTTCTGGGCCATCTCTCCTGTGAAGGCTCAGCAAAGAGAAGTCCCTACATCCTGAAGCCTGAACCCTCCCTAACCACAGGCATCCCCAAGACCAAGGCCAGGGCGCTGCACACACACTCCCACACAAACCCAGGGTCTGCAGGGCAGGGGCAAGGGCTCAAGGGCCACTTGCCAGACATTAATTTATCAAATAACTTTTCCCCCAAATGCAATTACTTTCTGAGTGTTTTCTAACCTGATCAGCTAATGTAGTCTGTTTCTGCTGCTTTGTTGATGTTTAAGTATTTTTAAATAACCGATTTGTCTGAGGGCACTGCCTACTTAATTTGTGTTCCCAGTAACTCTCAAATTCATAACACTTAACAAATTACTGTATCCTCTTAGCTGTTATTTTCTACTTTATCTATTTCTAACCATTATCAGGACTTCTCTGCCAGTTTGCCTAAAGTCACCTCATTCAAGATTCTAATTTTTTTAAGATGTCACTTCAAATCTGCCAGAGGGACGGACAGATAATTCAATAAGCTTATATTGTTTGTTCTATTTATCATCTGCATAGGGCTTACCAGGTCTGGCACTGTTCTGAGCACTGATATGCATGACCTATTTAAAGCTTCACAATGACCCTAGCAGATAAGACCATCCTTATCCCCATTTCACCGGTGAGGAAACTAAGACAAGCTCAGGTGCCCAAGGTCACTCATCTGATAGTGGCAGGGCAAGCATACAAATCAGGCAGCCTGACTGCAGATTCCCTCCCTTTCCTTTACAAAAATTAAATTAGGACGCTCAGATGCTGAAACAAATCAGAAAGGGGTGACTTTTAGGCAAACTGGATGTTACATGAGTTGTTAATTAGGTAGGTAATTTTAGGCCTAGTGATCTGTGTCAGGATCTCCTGCTGACCAGCTCCCTCTCCCTTTACTGGGCCATGGTACTTCCCTTCCTCTCTCCCTCCCTGGCCCCCTTCTCCCATCCTCTTACCCCTGGAAACCTAGGTACAGGGCCCAGGGCTTGGCGCAGGTAAGGGGAGAGAGACAGAAGAGCCACAGGCTTTCAGAGGTGAGAGAGAACCATTTCTCCAGGCAAGTTGGTGGCTATATTAGGACTGCATGGGAGAGAGGGGCATCTTAGGAAGAGGAATGTGCTGGAACCTCAGAGATGGGAGGGCCTGCCAGCTCTTGGGACCCTCATTCGGGGTCCTGATAAGTTAGAACCAAATTTCTAAAGTCCCCCCACCCCCAGGAATCTGCTCCCAGACGCTCCAGAAAACCATCACCTACTTCCCTCATCTGACATCCAATCCTCCACCCTCTGCCTCCACCAGCCTCAGCTCTGGTACTGCCTCCTCTGTGCCTGCTCAGGACCCAAACTCTGTCTCCTCCTCCTCTTCCTCCTCCCCATCCTTCCCTGTCTCCCTTCTCCCCCTCTTCCTTCCCCCAGGGCGGGGCCTGAATTTTTCCTCCTCTAGCTCTTGCTCAGGCCCAGTGAAACAAGTGAATGAAAGACAACAGTGTGAAGGAATCCTCTCCCTCCCAGAGGCGTCCTCTCTGACCTTGGACAGAAAGGGTGCTCATCCCATTCCCTCCGGTGATGGCAGCCCAGCCACAGGAACTGTGGTCTCGTAAATCTCCAAGGCTTAGACCAAGGGCTAAATTTAGAGGAAGCTTTGTTGCCAGGCCACGAGGGAGCACTCAGCGAGGTCAGACCCCCTGGCTCCAGGGAAATGGCACCTTTGAGACCTGGCTGGCCCTTGGGCACAGTTCCACCTGGACAGGCCCCAAGGCAGAGGAAGAGCCGCTGGCCTCTTGGCTCTGACTTGCTGCCTCCTCCCCTGCCCTCTTCTAAGGTGAGGGCTTCCAATTCCAGGCACACAGAGGCTGGAACCAGGACCCAGGCTGGCCTCAAAGTGAAAACTCAGAGAGAGAAATCTGACAAGCAGGAAAAGCCCAGAACCTGAACTCCCAGAAATAGAGGTAGGGAGCTCTGACTGGGCATGTAGCAAGTGCTGACTTCACATCAAAGCACCTGTCCTTCCTACTTGTCTCCTCCCTGTGGGACCCTCTTACTGGTATCCCTAAATCTGAGGCTCCCTGCTGTCTGAGCAGGCCCTGTGCTTTCCTGCCTCTGAGGCTTTGCTTGCTTAGCTCCTGTCCCTAGGATCCCTTTCTGCTCTTCTCAGCTTTCCTTGGCCCATCGTGTGAGGTCTCGGCGCAGCGGCCTCTTCTCCATCCTCCCTGACTACCCACCAGCAACAGCAGCAGCTCTGTACCAAATAGGCATCTCTAGGGTGTGTTGTGGGTTTGAACTGAGTGAAATCCACCCAATCGGCCCCTTCAAGAGAATGAACATCCCTAGCTGTGCCAGCTTATCAGACCAATGCAGTTAGAGGAGGAGACTAGGCCTGGGAGTGACTCGAAAACCACTTCCTATCTGCTTGCCCATTTTGCCCGGGTGCAAATAGCACAAATTAGTTCTGAGCATAGCAACCTGGGCCCCAGTGCTTTGCTCAGCAAGGAGGCTCAGCCACAGCCCCAAACCACAGCATCTGATTCAAGGACAGCCTCACAGTGCCTGAGTCCAGGCAGAGGATTCCCTGAACCACCCCTGACACACACACACACACACCACTCACACACGCAACCACACATGCTATGCAGACATAATGCACACCTCACACACATACACCTTGCACACACACTGAACACACACATATTACACATGCCCCTGCTCCCCAGCATGTCCTTCCATACCCAGCCTTACGAGAGAGAGTTGGCAGACCCCAGGCATGGTGGTGCCTGTAACTGCTCCTCTCCAGGGAGCAGCGGGCAGCACTCTCCTAGCTGACCAGGCAGGGTCGTTAGTGAGGAACTACAGATCAGTGTGGGAAAGCTAAGTGTGTGGCCACCAGCTCCGGCACAGGAAATGGACTGAGCCTGATACAGCAACAGGAATGTGATGTTTGAGGGCTGTCAAGCTCTGGCCCTGGGGACATCCTGGGGCAAACATTGACCCAGTTGCAGGGAGGGAACATCTGACAGGCAGGGAAGAGGGGAAGGGCTGCCCACTAATAGGGCAATGACTTCTAGAGTCCCAGAATCAGGAATGTCAGGGTTGGAATGGAAGCAAAATGCATACACACATGCACAAACACAGTAGGAAAAATGGTAGCCTTAGGAGGAGGGATAGGGGACAAGAGTTAGAATTTTATTATGCGTTACACTCATTCAGTCTCACACCGTGCATTTACCAGCCTCTCTGCCTTTGCACACACTGTACTATGATGTCCTTACTGGCACCACCCTTATCTGCTGGGCAAACACTCTTACTGAACCTTCAAAGCCCGCATCAGGATGACCTCCTCTGTGATGATGCTACCCCATTCCTCCTCGGAAAATTGTAGACATTCTAACAAGTTAGTCACCATCCATCTTACTCACCAGAGGTGGTTTCCTCAAGAGCAGAGATAACCACATCCACTTTAACCCCTCCATGTCCTGCACCCACTCCATGATTTTTTCAGATGTGAACATGGGTGGTTTTTGTCTTTTGGGTGGAATTGCCATTGTTGCAACAACCGTATCTGTTCCCTGCTGGGTGCCCTGTGGAACAGTCATACCTTCCCTTTGCCCTGCTATCTTTCTGTTTGCCATCAAAGTGCCACTCTTCCAGAGACCTTCCCTGTCTTCCCAAGTCCAGGTTAGGTATCCCTCCCAAGTATTAAGCTAACACCCATTCTTGTAACTGCCTGCTCACCTAAGGGACCAGGAAACAAACCTAAATAAATGATCCACTCTCCTCACTTCCTTTCTGCATCTTCTAACTCTGCAGATCCTACCTGGCCCGTGACCACCCCAAGGACATCCATTTGATCTCCCAACCAAGGCAGACACACAATAGGCATTTTACAAATATTTGTTGGATAAATGAACAGCTGATGGAAACCCTGCCCCTGGCTTTATTGACAGAAGGAGATGGGGCATGTCGCATCTTGAGGAGGAGAACTTTAGTGGATGAGAGGTGGACAAAGCAGATTCCCACCTTGGCAGTCAAGATGCACTGACCACTTCTAAGGCCTTTTCGGGGTTCCAGGCCTCGCCAGGTTGTTGTCCGGTGTGTGGCATGGCATTCCCCTCTGTGATGGTGTTTCTTCTATATAACAGTGTTACACGGCAGTATAACAGTATTATAACTCCTTTCGGGTTCCCAGACCTGATTCGAAAGTGTTGGGGGGATGGGGGTCTCCCCCCACATACACCACCAAACAATTCTCAAACACCAGCAGGGTGTCTGAGAACTCAACTCAATTCTGATGCTATCGGCCCAGAGACAGCACCAGATTCCCCAGTTAAAGGCTCCGTGCTACAAGACTGCCCTCCACCCCTCACTCCAGATGCCAATCCAAGTCCCAGGCATTTAACCTAGACTTCTGATCTGCTGGCTACAGATTGGAGGTTCCCACCACCTCCCCCTTAGGTTCAATTAATTTGCTAGAGTGGCTCACAGAACTCAGGAAAACACTTAATGTTTACCAGTTTGATAAAGGATACCGTAAAGGATACAAGTTAACAGCCAGATGAAGAGATACAATAGGGCAAGGTCTCCAGTAAAGGAGCTTCTATCCTGGAGCTCGGGGCCTGGCTGGGTGGCACGTGGAGGAGCTCTGGCTCCCCAGGCACGGATCACTCTCCAACAGGGAAGCAGGATCCAGGAGAAGCAATGAGCTCTTCTCTGGGGTTTTGTGAGGGCTTCATTGCGTGGTCACGACTGACTAAGTTATTGGCCATTGGCTGATACAACCTCCAGCCCTGCCCCTGGGTGGGGTCCAAAAGTTTCTCACTAACACTACCAAACACCCATTTCACCTTTAAGTTTCACCTTAAGTGAAAACACTCTGCAGTGTTTTCAGGAACTGTGGATGAAGACCAAAAATACCTGGGAAACATATATTTGGTCCTATGAATGACCAAATACGTATTTCTTATGACTCATGATAACACACCCTCCTTAGTGCACAGTCATCATGCCTTCTGTATGGTAGCGGTACGAGGTGTAAGGGATGAGTAACAGAAGAGGACAGGGGAAACGGACATGTGCTGTTGATGGCCAGCCAGGGCTTGACCCCTAATGCTCACCCTTTCTACCTCCCAGGCTGCCAGGCCAGGCCAAGCACCCAGAGACCAGCCCCTGTGGGCACTGCTGGAGCAGTACTGTCATGCAGTCACCACCCTCACCAACCTCTCCGGTAAGCAGCCCCCTGCCGCCACCCTGCAGTAGACCCCAGGAGATGAGGCTGGGCCCCAGGGCTTGAGAGCGCAAACAGTTATCCTGGGTCAGCCCCAGCCAGGTGGGGTGGCGGGCAGTGGTTGGCCTCTGGTCCTGGCTCTAACCTCGGGCCTTGGGGCTCAGGCTCCTCACTGATGATGAAGGGCTTGGCTGAGAGTCCTACAGCTCCCTACGTCTGCACCCAAAGGAAGCTGGCTGGGCTGCATTCAAGAGCCTGAGGAGGGGGCATCCCCCTGCTTTCAAACTCGAGCAAGACCAGCAGAAGGTGTAAAACACATTCCCTGGTTGCCGTGGCTACAGGTGTCAGCTCCTGGTAATGACCTGCGAAGCAACAGCAAGGCCCCTGAGTTCAGACCCCTCAGTTTTCCAGCAGCTGATTCAAAGTCAGAGTCAGCCACGGCATAGCTCCAAATATCGCATTCTCCCAGGCTCTGGAGAGATGTCCCGGGGGGCCTCGTCTAGTATCCTGGCCCCCAGGGCTGCACCCGCAGAAGCAGCAGGGAAGGAGGAGGGCTGGGGCGTGCTGCTGGGATCTGGAGCTGCTGCCGAGGTACAAAGAGATAAGGGTGCTGGCCAGCAGTGGGACCCAGCACCAAATGCAGCCCAGGTGAGGTCCTGAAGGGGAAAGCCTTGGTCCCCACCCTCCTTTCAGTGGGGTGGTGAAGAGCTCAGGTCTTGGGGTCAGACTCGAGTCTGGATCCTACCTCCTCTACCTAGTAGCAGCTGGACCTTGATGAGTCACCTAACCCATCTGTATCAGTCTGTCAGGCCTGCCAGAAAATCCCACGGACTGGGTGGCTTAAACAGTAGACTTACTTATGATTCTGGAGCCTAAAGGTCCAAGATCAAGGCATGAACAGAGTTGGTTCCTTCTAAGACCTCTCTCCTTGGCTTGCAGACGACTATCCTCTCCCTGTGTCTTCATGTGGTCTTACTTGTGTGTGTCTGTCCATCTCCTCTTCTTAAAGGACCCCAGTCACATTGGATTAGGGCCCGCCTGAATTCATGACTTCATTTTAACTTAATGACCTATCTCCAAATAAAGTCACATTCTGAGGTACTGGGGAGTAGGACCTCAAAATATGGATTTTTAACAATTCAGCCCCTAACACCATCTGAGCCTCAGTTTCCCCATCTGTTAGAAATGAGTCTAAGTTGACCTCAGAGCCTTACTGTGCATATTGAATAAGAAACCATGGAGACACCTCGCATGGGCCATGCTGAGCAGCTATCAGGCAGGAAACAGAGCCACCATTTCAGGAAAGCTCCAGCCTTCTCCTCACTGGAGCTCTCTGCAGTTGGTGGCAACACCAGTTTATCAGCAGACCCCCCGCCTTCTCCCCGACCCTCCAGGAAGTGCTGCAGACCCCTGCCTTCCCGGTTACGTTGGCAGATGGTACTCCACCCTCCCCTCCTCTGAGTCTAGGTGGGAGGGTCTCCACTTCTGCAAACACAAGACCTTCTCTGTTAACTTGTAATATTCACCTGCTTTCAAATAGAATATGTGTTTTACATATGGGAAAAACAGTTTTAAGAATCAAAGAAGATGACAAGTACTCATTTTCCTACAACTGGAGAATTTTTGTTTTGTTTTGTTTTAATTCAAGTATAGTTGACATATAATATTACATAGTTTCAAGTGTACAACATAGTAATTAAACAATTACATACATTATGAAATGCTCACCACAATAAGTATAGTTACTACCTGTCACTAAACAATATTACAATATTTTTGACTATATTCCCTATGGACTTATTTGTTTTATAACTTGAAGTTTGTATTGCTTCATCCCGTTCACCTATTTCATCCATCCCCTCCCCCTCTCCCCTGTGGCAACCACCAGTTTGTTTCCTATACTTATGAGTCTGTTTCTGTTTTTGTTTTTTAATGTTTGTTTTGTTTTTTTAATTCTACATATAGGTGAGATCATGCATTATTTCTTTCTCTGTCTAACTTTTTTCACTTATAATGCCCTCAAGATCCCATCCATGTTGCTACAAATGACAAGATTGTGTTCTTTTTTATGGCTGAATAATATTCTATTGCATATATGTACCACATCGTCTCTATCCATTTATCTACATAAAGATAGGTTGCTTCCATATTTTGGCTATCGTAAATAATGGGGTAGTAAACATAGGGTGCATGTTTCTTTTCAAATTCATGTTTTCATTTCTTTCATTTCCTTCCTTCCAGAAGTGGAACTACTGAAGCATATGGTATTTCTATTTTCAGTTTTTTGAGGAATCCCCATCCTGCTTTCCATAGTGGCTGCACCAGTTTATATCCCTGCCAACAGTGCAAGAGGGCTCCCCCCAACCCAGAAATGTTTGTTTATATCACCCAAGAGTTTATCAATTCATAGAGCCTCATGTTTTTTCATTTTTGTTTTTTCACAAAACTGTCCACAGCTTTGCAACCTTCTTTTTCCTCATAACTCAGAGTGAACACTTCCCCATGTCATTAAATATCCAGCTACCATGTGGATGGTGATGCGGCCTGGCATGCCACTGGGGGGACACATCATCCTTCCTTAACTGTGCCCCTGAGCTGGGATGTGCAGGCCACTATGGTGCCCTTGGATGGGCTTCCGGAATAGTTTCTCGGGTCCCCCCACTGGGGTGATTTCCTTTTTAGTGTCCACTGATTAAGAAAATGAATAATAACTAACATAAAGCTCAAAAACAAGTAAAATCAAACAATCTGTTGTTTAAAGATACATATATGTGATAAAACTGAGAAAACAAAGAGCAAGGGGATAAGAAATGAAATATTCAAAAGCATGTTCCCCCTGTGGAGAAGAAGTATATAGATAAATATGTAAGTGATTGGTAATGATCTATCTTGTACTGGGTGGTTGATTCATTATATTTACTACGTACAAACTTCCATAGAAGAAAAGACTGAAATAAAATAAAGTTAGGCCATGTATGGGCTAATGATGACAAAGGGTCATGAACTGTATGCTCCTGAGGCCCAAATAAAGGAAAAACACACCTAATTACCAGAGAATGCAGACAGGCTTTAAATGGATTCTTTTATGTTTTATGCATCACAGAGGCATCTAATAAGGCAAATATTGTAAGGCATATTATTTATTCCACCCATAGAGGCAATATAAGGGTCTGAGTAGATTCAGGATCCCTTCTAATAACTCCCCAGTCCAACAAACACACACACATACACACATACCCTAGGGCTGGTCCAATGGGAAGAGAGCCTTGGCCTGTGAGGCAGGGCTGCTGCCAAGGCACCTGTTCTTGCATTCGTGACTCCCTGAGCACAAGCCTGGAGCATTCTGGTGGGTGCTGGGGACTGCTTAGTAAACACGACCAGCCCTGCCCTTGGGGACTCGCAGGCTGGTAGAGGAGACAGTAGAGAACTAACAACGTTGGTGTGACGTAGACCAGCCCCAGCAGATAAGGGCACTGAGGAGGGCCACCCAACCCAGACAAGACAAAGAAGGTGAGAACAGAGCAGAACATTGGAAGGACAAGTGGGAACTGGCTAGGCTAACTGGAATATAGAGCAGCGAGGGTGTTCCCAGCAGAGGGAACAGCACATGTAAAGGTGCAGAGGTATTGACTTCAGGGAATGAAAGTTCTTCCAAAGGTCATCTCAAGTTGAGCAGGAAGGAGAGAATGGAGATAGATGATCTTGAAGAATGTTCTTTGCAGTGCTGAAGAACTGGCCTCCATCCTGAGGGTAATGGGGAGCCTCTTGTGAGAAGGCATGATAGGATCTTAATTGTAGAAAAGTCACTTCATCTGCCCAGTGAAGTAGACAGGGTGCCCCAGCTGGCCTGTGGCAGAGATGAGAATAGCCTGGGAAGACTTGGAGAGGGAAATGCCTTTTCCTTCTCTGGGCCTCCCTTTGCCCATCTATAAATGAGAACATGAAATTGGAAGGTTACTGAGTGCCTTTCCTGGTCCCATGGCTCGACCTGAAGATAACTGCCATCTCTCCTATGCCCAGGTGGAGTAGGGTGGTGGGGAGGGAGTGTCTGGCCAGGGAGCACTGTGCCCTGTGCCTCAGGGCAAGAGTGGGGCATGTCCTGGCCTCTCTCTCCCATGCCTCCATGCCTTCAGAAGCCCTCTTGTAAATCCCAGTAAGCCCCACAGCCTTGTCCCAGCTTGCATACTCCCTGTCTATTTAGTCTGGTCAGACACAGCCCCTCAGAGATGCCAACGTAGACTCTGTTCCCTTAAATCCTGTTTTCCAGCTTACATTTGATGGGTGGTGGGATGAATGAGAGAATGTGTGTGATGCTGTGAAGACATATGACTGTGTGAGATGCCATGTGTGTTTCCACTGTGCACTGGAGGACTGTGATGTGTGTCTGAGCTTGCCTGGATCTGTCCACAGCCACGACAGCTGACATCACTGGCTCCCGCCTCACCCCAAGCTGCTCATGACACAGAGGTATCTTCCCCAGGCACCTGTCACACATCCCTGAACTTATCTGCAATGTGTTCCACCAGCTGGGGGCACAGAGACTGTCTCAAATATCTCTCTCCCAGTGCCGGGCCTAGGAGCCCACCTCCATCCCAGGGGTCTCCCGTCCACCTCTGCTTCCTTAGCAAAAAGGGCCAGACTTCTTTTTATTGTAGTTGGATCCAATCTAATTGAGAAAATTTTTAGCTCTTTACAATGTCTTCTGCATTTACCTACTTGCAAACACTAAGGTGAGCTGTAAAATCAATTTTTTCTAAAGCTTCTACCTTTTTCAGTTTCTGTGTTACATCTAGAGTAACAATCATGCCTGTAGTAATAAGATCCCTGAAGAAATGGTCCTGCATTCTGGAAACCAGGGGACCTTGGGTCTGTGGGTCTGTGCTCAGGCCCTGAATGTCCAGTCAAGATGCAGAGCAGCTTTCAGCTGTGCCACTGAAATGGTCACTTCCCAGAGGAACCTTTATTACATGTGCTCTCTCAATTAAGAGCAATCCAGGTCACCCAGGCCAGTCTTCTATTCTGCAAAAAGCTTCTCATGAGACAAGAAGTCCTTGGCCTCCAGTCCTTGCACCTTCACCAGCCCCTGAGATAGCTGCTTCCCCTTGGCAGTGGCTCTGGTGATAGCAAGTTAATAACTTAACTTGATTTTACCCTTTTCCCCTGTGCTGTGATCATTGTGTCCAGAGTCCACCTTGGTGCATGAATGAGACTATTTCCCAGTGAAGATATGGGCTGACCCTGCCAGCCACACTTCAGAGCCTGGGACTGGGGACAGGACTCTGCCTAGGTTTGGGATTGGGACTCAGGACTGAGGCTGGGGTTGGGCCTCAACTTAACCTCCCCTACTCCTGGCACTGGTTAATTATGGACACCAAGGGACCTTGCTTCTACAGCTGGCCAGAGCTGAGCCAAGGGCTCCAGTTGTCCATTCAGGAGGCAGAGGACAGACCTGGCTGGCTGGTCTGCACCCTGCACCTGCCAGTCAGCTGGCCTTGGAGTGATTCCAGAGCTCATCCCTGGTCTCAGTGCTCTGTGGCTCTCTGGCTGGGCCTGGGCAGTGACAACAGTTCATCTGGGGCTGGTGAGACTGGAGCACACAAAGGTACCCTAGCCTGCCTCTTCTCTCCCTGTTCAGGGCGTGGTGCTGCCTCAGGGTGGTCTCAGCCTTCCTGGGCAGCTCTGTTCCCAGTGGAGTCTGGCAAGAAGGGACAGAACTGGATCCCATGTCTCCCTGCCCTCTAAAGATAGGCACACATGACACATATATGCGTGTACATCTTCCTCAGCCTTTGCATCTCATACCTCATAGATCAGACCTAAAGACTCTCAGGACTGGGAGGGGCCTCAGAGAACATTTCACTGAAGGAAAAACAGCCCCAGAAGAGAAAGCAACAACTGGGATAATATGCAGGAAGAGTAGAGACAGGCAATACCAGAACCAGCCCAAATTGGGGTGTCCCACACCCTAGCCCTGTCTCCCGAGCCCAGATGCCCCACTCAGCAGACATGAGCGGCTGACCCACCCTGGGTACTCTGACAGTGAAGCCATGATGGGTTATGGGGCAGGGCAGTCCTGAGGAGGCTTGGGCAAATACCATATGAAAGTTTGTAGCTCCTCCACACTTGCTGTGTGGCCAAATCTCCTATCCACATACACACACACACACACACAGGTGGCCCTGCCCAAGCCAGGAGGAAGGCAGACAGGTTCTCACTTCCCATTTTATTCTGTCTGAAAGTCAGGGCACTAAGACCTAGGTGTTGGAAGTTCTCCAAATAATTTGAGCCAGCTTCTACCCTGGACTTTCCCATTTAATTAAATGGCAATACTAACCCTCCAGTCACCCAAACAGGAGACCTGGTTAACTCTGCTCCTGGCTCCCTCCGGAAGCCAGCCATTCACACTTCTCTCCAGTCCCTCCTCACCGGGGCTTGTTCTCACCTAAAGTATCCTCTCCATCCCAGCTCCCACGGCCTGGTCCAGGTCGTCACCCACTCAGGCCACTTGCTCTCGGCCCTTCGGAGGCCTCCTTGCTCCCCTAGAAGCCCTCCAATCCACTTCCCAGAGGTCACGGGGACTTTCAGAGCACAGATCTGCACAGGGACTCCCCTACCTCCGCAGCACTTCTCCAGAGTCCTCACTCAGGCTGAAAGAACTCGGCGGAGAGCCCGCAATCCCGGCTCTTAGAGGTTAGCGAGCTGCTGTGGGTTCCTAGGGCCGGCAGGGGTGGAGTGCGGGGCAGGCGCGCCTTCTTGCCCTCTGCAGCCCTAGGCCTACGATCACGGGCGTTCCGCCCCTCCAGGCGCTTGCACTCTCTCCATCCCCGCCGCCCTCCTCTAGACCGTGCCCGGGCCTGAGAAGGCGACTCCAGGCCGGGCCCAGGGGAGCCGCCCGGTCCCGCCCCCTGGCGCCGCCATTGGCCGCGACCGAGCGGGTGGACCCGCGGCTCCGCGCGCCCCGCAGCTTCTCTCAGCGAAGGTCCGGACCCCGCGGCTCCGGGGTGTCGGGCGCAGCTCCTGGAGCCTGCCCGGCAGGTCGGGGCTGGGGGGCAGGACCGGGACCCCGCGCTCTCGGACGCGCTCGCTCACACCTCGTCCCTCGCAGCCCCCGCGCGCAGTCACACTCCCTCGCGGCGCGATGGACGCCGCACTGCTTCACAGCCTGCTGGAGGCCAACTGCAGCCTGGCGCTGGCCGGAGAGCTGCTCCCGGACGGCTGGGGGCCGCCCCCGGTTCCCGAGGGTAGGCGGAGGCGAGCGGGCCAGGGAGGCGCGCGCTCCTTGGCTTGCGCGCCAGGTGCGCCCAGGGCCCCGCGCTGCGAGCGCCCCGCGCCCGCGGCAACCCAGCTGAGCCCCGCTCCTCTCTCCCGCCGCCAGGTCCCGACTCCTACTGCAACACGACCCTGGACCAGATCGGGACGTGCTGGCCCCAGAGCGCAGCCGGAGCCCTGGTGGACAGGCCGTGCCCCGAGTACTTCAACGGCGTCAAGTACAACACGACCCGTGAGTGCCCCGCGACTCTACGCCGCGGGCTCTGCGCCCGCCTCCCGGGAGAACGGTTTAGGGAGTGGGGAGGGCCCCAGACCTGGCGTCGGAGGGCAGCTGAGGGCCGCGGCACCGTCACACTGCAGGCGTTAAAGACCTTTTATTTTGGGGCGTTACCCTGGTCCCTACCCACCGTAGCTTCAGACCTTGGTAAGACAGTGTTTGCCCACGATTCCCGTGGTGCTTTGAGAGCCCAGAAAGGGGAGAAGGAAATATTTCCTCCCTTTGAGAACTAACCTCCCTCCCACCTTATGTATTCTGGGTGCCTGAAGTTCCCCCATTCTCTTTGTTTAGTCGGCGGTGGGGGGCGTTGCGGGGACACATATGCTAAGTTCCCAACACCTAGGATGGGTGCGGTTATCGAACTCTTTACTACCTAAGATAAGGGGAGCAGGAGGCAAGAAAGATGGGGTGAACGCTTGTGCTGGGGGAAGCATGCAGTGTGTTGGTGCTTCTGAGGCAGAGTGTGGGGTGTCCTCTCTGTCCCCACCTGTATGTCCCTGGGCTGGCCCTCCGACTGTGAATCAGGACTGTGCACAGCATTACTCCTGCTACCCAGGTAATGTATGCTGTCTGAATCAGGACTACCCCGCACCTCCCAGGGAGAACAGCCTGTGCCCTCCTTCCTGCTGGCAAATCACTGGCTAGCTTGACACTCAGAGCAAGACTGGCAGCAGAGGCTGCTGGAGTCACACAGCATCCAGGTGTGGCAATTCAGTACAGGCTCTGGGAGTTGGGGTACCCGAGTCTGTGCCCTGTGGAAGGTCTGATAGGAGCGAGGCTGCAGGATGCAGTAATCACTGGCCCACCCTGACTGGTCACTAATATCTCCAGCCCAAGCCCACCAGCAGAGAGCCTCCCAAGACCTGGGAAGCGTGGAGGGGCTATTTGTCTGGAGCTCCATATCCTGGAAACATCATAGCAACCTCTCTCTGAATGCCTGTGTCTGAACGGTGATAGAGATGCCCCATCAGCTCTCACATATGCACGCACACGTGTCCAAGCTCTCAGAGGCTAAAGCCTTCACTGAGAGATGGTTAGAGGGCCAGACAGCAGTGCCTGCACATGATGCTAAGCGGCACTCCCTTGTCTGCACCATCAGAGGGCTCTGGTGACCTGGAGAGCTGTTGTACTCCCAGGAGTCCGAGAGCAGAGGTGCTCCTGATGGAAGGGAGTGGGAGAGGTAGTGGAGCTGCTGTGGAAGATTTCTGCATCATCTGAGGACATGCTTCCTATCCATGACTAAAACAGACCTAGGAGGAAGTGAGGTTCTGGCCCCAGAAGGTGTGCAAGCAGGAGTAAAATGGTTTTCCTGCTCTTTCGCAGTCCTCTGATTAGAAAATTGCATTTCTAGGATGCTGTGAGCTGTGCAGGGTTGGGTAGTAGAAATCACGTTCCTGGTTCAGACCACGCATGGAGACTAAGGGCTAAATGAGGTGATGAGGCATCTCAATCCTGCAGACTGTGGACCTGAGGGAGGTTGGCTGTGTCCTACCTGAGCCTGGGCTGTCTCCTGTTCTCCCCACCTAGCCTGGAGCAACCAAGGGTAGTGCCTGGGTCTCCTCTTGGCCAAGCTGAGCACAGAATTTCTTTAACCAATTTATTAAACAGCTACTATATGCCAGCCCCTGTACTGTCATTGAGGCCCTCACTCACAATTGCAAAAGACAAAAGGAATACAAAGTGATAAATGCCCTGATGAGGAGTACAAGGGGACTGGAACAAAAGAAGGATGGGGAGGAAAGGGGGAAAGGGAGGCAGGGAAGACTTCCCAAGTTGGTGCCAGAGCACATGCCAGACTACTGACTTTGTGTCAAATGAGAAATTGTAAAAAGGACAGGGTGCCGCCAAGCGCATTTTGTGCCAGTTTGCCCCTGGTATGTAATGAGCAAGTTCATTCATTTGGACCAAAATGCTGCCCTCCCTCTAACTGTTGGGGATGGGGAGAAGCATGGCAGACAGGGAGCATTGCCATTAACCTGTTCTGCCAGCTGAGGTGGGAAGAGAAGAGGCTGCTAATGGAAAGGTGGGGATTGATCTCTCTCCTCTGCTGCCTCCTGGCTGCTGCTTCCTCCTGCTCTGTTTGCCTTTCCAGTGGGATTCTTCCTTTAGAAAGGACACAGCTCCTACAGGAAGCCTGGAGGAAGAGGAGGAAGGTCCTGGCTCCTCTTTCTGCCCAATTTTGTTGTGCTACAGCCAACCCCCCACTGAAGCCTCATTATTTAGAGGACAGGCACTGCCCTCCCGGAGGGGACAGTAGCTTAGGCATTAGTCCCAGGAAACTTTCACTTCACTCAGCTGAGCACAGAGAATCTACCACAAAGCTACCAAGTGTGGGTCATTTTCCAGGTGCTAGCTACCACCAAGAGAGCTTTGCACACATGACCCCACTCATCCCCACCTCCCTGAGACACCTGAGATATGTACTTTTTGCCCATATTGCAGATGAGAAAACTGAGGTTCAGAGACATGAAGTAACTTTAAAAGGTTATAATCAGGTCCTATGCACCAGTGCAGCCAGGGAAATCCACAGACCTCACTCTCAACTGTGAGAGTTTGTGAGGAGAGCTCAGAGAGACAGAAAAAAGACTCATGCCTCTGCCCTGGGGGACCACAGAGGGCTTAGCCCTCTGAGCTGGACTTCTGGACACAGGGGGGATTTTAGCAGATGACGGTGTGATAGGTATAAGGAAGGAGATGGGACCATGCTCTGTGCCCTGGAAGGGGTGCGTATTGTATGGAGCACAGTAATAGGAGAAATAAACAGAGATGGGTGGATGTTGGTCAGATGATGCAGGGCATCATAAAAGACTTCACCTCTGCAAGAGGGGGCTGGGGGAGCTTGTGAGCAGGGGACCTCAGCTTTGGGCCTAGAGACTCTGGGGGCAAGAGGAAGGGTTCAGAGGCTACTGCAGCTGACCCAGGTCAAGTGGAGGCTGCAGCACAGGGAAGGGATGGATGCAAGAGACCTTGGGCATTTGAAATTGGCAAGACTGGGGTGGGCCCATGAAGGGAGTGGAGTCAGAGATGACACCAGGAAAATGCTGAGGACAGGTGGAGACATGTTGGTCGGGAGGAGCTAGAGTGACATCTGAGTGGGAATGCACAGAACACAGTTGGCTGGATGGAGAAGAGCCCAGGAGGGTGCCTTGGGCTGCATACAAGGCTTTGGGGAATTCAAATGTGAAGCCACAGACAGGAATTTTCAGAGGCCCCATTGGACTCTTGATTATTTTCATTCAGAAACTATTTCCAGATGCAGCAGCAGCCCAGAGAAGGGAAGGGACTTGTCCACAGTCACACAGGCTAGTCCATGGCAGAACAAAGTTAAGCATCCATGTGTCTGAGTTCCCTCCAGGGTTCTCCCTACCACCTATGCTGACACTTCAGTGGCTCAGGTTCCATGTGTCTGTACTGTTGTTTGACCTATGTTAACTCATTAAACCCTACACTCACCCAATGATGGAGATACAGTATTATCCTTAGATTACATGTGGGTAACTGAGGCACAGAGAAGTTAAGAGACTTTCCTGGAATTACACAGCTTGTAACAGAACAGGAATTCTAACTCAGCCTCTGTTGCCTCCCAGAAAGTAATTTTGCTGGGTTAAACAGAGAAGAAATTTATTGAAAGGATATTGGGGAGGCGATGGATTTACTGAGTGGGCTGAAAAACCAGATTTGGGGCCCCTAGCCAAGAACTCAGGGCAGAGCTGGCCCAGCGAGAGGACCCTCACTCTCCCTGGTCCCTGCTGCGATCACTGCCCTGGGGCCTTAAGCTTCCTGTTGTGGCTCTCAGGAAGCTTTCCTCCATCACCATTTTGTGGCCCCCAACTCACTAATTCGCTCAGGGCAGATGCATCTGATGTTGTTGGGGTGGCGGGGTGGGGAGGGTGCACCCTAGGTCACATACTCCAGCTCTGCCACCAGGGAGCCTGAAAGGTGAGGACCTGGTGTTTCAGCTCTGTAGCAGGAGATGACCTCTGCCTGCCCTAGGTTTCCTCAAGCCCATACGAGAAGCAGGCTCAGCACTGGGCCATGCAAAACTATCATAATGTCTATACACTGTATAACCTGGGGCCAGTGTCACCCCCTTCCTGAGCCGCCATCTCCCTGTCTGTAGAAAGAAGGGAAATCGATTAGCTAGAAATGGTTGGCCAGAGGTGGGCACTGTATTCCATTTCCCTTCCACCTCCCACTGTTCTACAGGGACTCTTCTGAGCCCATCTCTGTGTGTGTGTGTGTGTGTGTGTGTGTGTGTGTG